TATATATATATATATATATATATATATATATATGTGTGTGTGTGTGTGTGTGTGTGTGTGTGTGTGTAGATGGTTTTTTCTAGGTAAAGTATATAGGTTGGGAGGTAGTTAGTTTAAAGAAAACAAGAGGAACATCAATATCTGATGAACACATATAAAGTGCATCTCATCATGACACCCACTACGATATGTTAGAGAAACGTATAAAGTTTAACGTGATTGGTTAGAAATATGGGAGTACTTAGTCCACATTTCCATTCGTAGAAACTAGCAACACCTTTATTTCATTTGTTTATAATGAAAAAGATATGTTATTTTACAAAAGATTTTTAATAATAATATACATTAATTCAAACGTGATTTTTAGAAAAGTTCAAATATTTTGACCAAATTAACAAAAAGACGGGATACCGGCTAAATTTGCGAAACGACCCAAAAATGGTTTTCCGAAGTTTTAATCAATAATCTGTGCTTTTCTGTAAAAAAAATTTAGTTTGATACTTTTTCATAAATTAAGCTAAAATATTGAGACTATATTGGAGATTTCCGTATATCATTATGTATAAATAATATATGTTTTTTTTGCATCTAAATACATATTTTCTATATTATAAATATATTATTATGTATGAATATGTATTTTTTTTTACATTCAAGTTGTATTTGTATAAATGAATATGTATATATTGTTTAATATTTAAACCATATTCTTACATATAAATATGTATTTTTATATTTAAAAATACGTCATATTTATACATAAATTATAGTTTTAAATGTAAAATTATGGGTTTAAATATAATAATACGTGTTTATATGCAAAATAATAGACAAAATTGCAAAAATGGTCCCTGTGGTATGTATTTTTTTGGGGTTTTAGTTCAAACCCTGACTTTTTTGGGTTGGTGGTCCTTTTGAGCTACTTTGCTTGCAGTTTTGGTCCCTGTCCAAACTAAAAAGACTATTATACCCTTAATAAATTTATTTTTCATTTTTCTTTCACTTTTTAATATTATTATTATTATTAAATATAAAAGTGGGCCCACTTATCCTCTCTCTCTTTATCCCTCCCTCTCTCTCTCTCTCTCTCTCTCTCTCCAAACCATTTTCCCCAACTCTCACCCAGTTCTTGAATTCTTGTTCATGCTATTTCCCATCCCTTACCCGATGAACCTCGATAATCATTCCATTGTCGTGAAATTGACCATCTCCTCCATTGAAACCCTTAGACCAAACTACCGCAATGAAACCCACCTAAAATATCAAGATTTAGGGTTTGGTTATCGACAGGGAGGAAGAAAAAAGGGACGACAACGATGTTATTAGGTTTACTGGCAGGTGATGGTGATGTTCGTCGTTGACGGATGTCAGCGGTGATCTATTTTTCGTTTTTGGAAATCAATTCACAGGTTTGCACTTTAACACACACCGACACACACACGAACATTCAATGTTCTGGGTTTGCTCTTCAAGAACAACAGATGAAATTGATTGAGAAGTTGAAGACATATCAGGGGAAAAAAACGATTTCGAATCTGTCAAGATTTAACCACGTCAATCTCTCAAGATCCAATCTCAGTAAGCCCTAATGCAATCTGAAATCAATTTCGAATCTGAAATTGATTTTACGTGTGAAATCGAACCATGGATATCCTTTCTTTATCTTAGCTGGATCGATTAATAGGTGTGTGTGTATGTGTTTTCGATCGCAACTCTCAATGATCCTCTATTTCTTATTTGATTTTGAACGAGAAGATGGGACAGAGATGGATATTCGATGTCTCTTTCGTCTTTCTTTGTGAAATTGATAAGCAGGTCTCAAGTTGTGGATATGAGATGATGATAGGGGCTGATTTCCTTAGGATTTGAGATGATGAGGAACATACCTGTTTTTTTTCAATCTGTGTACATTTTGACGGAAAAAAGAAGAAGAAAAAATGGTGTTAATTGATTGAGAGCTACACCCGGTTCTTGATTTTTTAGGTTTAGAAGCATAGAAGATTTGTTGCTTGGATTTCTACAAAAGTTGTACTCTGTGTATTAAAGATGTAGAGGTGAAGAAGACAAGCATGAATATGGGGGGGGGGAGAGAGA